ACTGAGGTGGAATGTGTATGTGTCGAGGAGAGCCTTGACGTCCCTACCTTAGTCCAAGAACCATCCAATGATGTCAGTGGCTCACAGCCAATCGTCTTTGCCTCAACTGAGGAAGCACGTGATGTGTACCAGTCTTTTACTCAAGAACCATCAAATGAGATCATTAGCTTAACACCCGATACTACTAAACACAATGGCTTGACTGCAGAAGGGTTTCAATATGAGTTTGACACGGATAGCCTTGCTGTAACCACATTTGCTTCAAACCCTTTGAATGACGTCATACCCTCGTTACCAAACTTCTCCGTCCCTTCGATGGTCCAGACTACATTTCATTGTGTCATACCATCCTTCCCTGGTTTTGACTACGGTGGTGGCTATGACATCAACCAGTTAGTCTACGCTGGAGACTGCGTGGAGACTGTTGCTACACAGAATGGTAAGTGCAACCATAACCTTGTTCCTAGTATGACTCACTTATTCATCAGTATGTAAACTAATTAGCATTTCTTCGGTTATCGTACAGACACAAACCATGGAGAGTGGATGTCAGTTTTGGAGAGTCTACATGTGCACAAGAAGTATGACCCATGTGTGGACTATGATATGATGAAAGAGATTGGTGAAGGATCATTCGGCCACGTCTACCTGGCAAAACACAAACAAATCCAGGTTAGAATACAGTCATTTCAAAAATGCTGCTTGTCGCTTACCAAACCTGAAATGTATTGTGGATCATATGCAAATTATGTCACCACAGAAGAAAATATGCCGGGAAAAAGTGCAGACAAAGTTTGGGAAAATTCCATATTTTTGTTACCTTTCGCTGATTGCATTCACATCACCCATAGTGCATTTCGGGCTCGGTATGCARCATGGAACAAAAGCTTCAACCTTTTTGAACTGTATACTTCAGTGAGTAATACCTTGGTTCCCAGTCCTTCTGACTCGGTACTCGGTCTTGATACTGTTGTTCTTATTAGTTTTTGTTTTCTTGCTAGGAAGAGTTTGCCATCAAAAAGATTCCACTGGGAAACACTCAAAATCAGGCCAATATTGTCAATGAGCTGGAGATCCTTCGCGTATCGCTTCATAAGAACATAGTGTTCCTGACAGAAAGTTACCTCTACGACTCCAGCGTGTATATCATAACTGAATACATCGATGGGTTAACCATTTCAAATATCTGTCAGATGGCCACTTTCTCGGAACCAGCCATCGCCTCCATCACTATGGAATGTCTACAGGGTTTGGCATATCTGCACGAGAGGTCTTATGTTCATTGTGATATTAAAGGATCCAACATTCTCCTCAGTAAGGATGGCAAGGTAATTATACTGAGTAGTAAGGACAAAAACAACACCTTACAAATAGTGATRATTTTACTTGGCCCGTGAAAAATAGTAAGCGAGTAATACATAGCTTTACACTTTACACTAATTCCATTGTTTTCTTTTGTTTTACATGGACTGTTAGTCACTAATTATACAACTTTTTATCACGGGCCAAAAAAGATCATTCTACATCAGGCAGGTTAAAAACCTACCTTTGACGATGTGATTGTTGTTCACAGGTGAAACTAGTAGACTTTGGTCTGGCCATCAAGACAGACAGCCCCATAAACGCAGGCATCAGAGGGGCGCTTCTTTGGAGAGCTCCAGAAATTTGCAATAATCTTCCTTATGAAAATAAGGTAATGACCAAAGTAGTAAAAAGATAGTAGTAGTTCRCCATTGGTCGTATGCTCGAGGACCGGAGAGATCCATCTGACCCTGTGATCATGGATAGTGAAGTCCGCGTGAACTTAAGTGTATACTTGAGAAAGATTGGTGGTGGTGGTAACTAACGTTTTGACAATCTTACAACATGATTTATATGATTGAAGGTTTCAAATCTTATTGCTTCTTTTTTTTYCCCTAATCGTCCAACTTTGACCGCAGGTGGACATATGGAGCCTTGGGATGGTTGTTATAGAGATGCTACAACAACACCCTCCCCTCTACTGGATACAAGACGTCAATCAGATGTTAGCCCTTTCCCAAAGTGGTTACACCATTCTGCAGGAAGACGTACAACCAATGGTGTCGGAAGAGCTCCTAGATTTTCTCTACAGAGGCGCACTAGTCGTTGATGCTAACAAACGATTAAGCGCACACCAGCTAATCCAACACCCATTCATGATGTGTGGGGATAATTGTGAATCCCTGCCAGGAATCGTTAAATGGGCATTACAACAACAGGTGCTGCGTTAGGCTCGTCAATTATATTATCCTCAAGTCGCAATCCCGAGTTGCTGATTTTTCTATAGTTTTTATATAATTAAGAAAGCATTTTGTATAAATAGAGTATTTATGAATATAGTATTAATAAAGTATTTTTATCATTTTTGGTTTATTTATGTCCAATGAGAAACCTTTTTTAAAAATTAGCGCCCGCTAGTGTCCGCCCTTAGGATAGGGGGAGATGAATTTATTTGAAAAATAAGAAAACAAACAAAACAAACAAAAGAAAAAATGGGAAGGGCAGGCGATAAAAAAAACAAAACAACAACAACAACAACAAACAAAAAACAAACAAAAAAACAAAAGACAAACAAACAAAAACAAAAAAAACAACAAAATAAAACAAAAACAAAACGAACAACGATATTTATGTAAAATAATAGGCAAAAGAATGTTTTACAACTAAACTATTGCGTGATTGAATCGGCGCATGCGTCATAATTACACATCGCTAAACAGGATTTTGTTCTTGTATTTTGATTTTATTTTGGATTTTCTATTATATATTTAATATATTTATTTGTCATACAATCCGAAATAATAACACAATTTTTCTCTTCTTTTCACATTAAAACTATTTGTACCGTTACTTAGTTATCGCTCTTTCTAAAAATATTTCTATTAATCTGTCATTTTTTTGTGTGGCAATCTTGTCTAAGGATATAATAATGAAACATTGTACATAATATRACTATGCTTTACACTATAAGAAAGTTTGCTCATTATAATCTGTTGCGAAAAAACAAACCGTGTCGGGCTTCCTGCGGTGTAGTTTTAAACAGGAGAAAGTTTTTTTTAGAAATTATCRCAATTTTTGATATCAGCATACTACAGTGAAAATTACAAACAATATAATAAACAAAACGAAAAACACACAAATAAGCAGTTAAGTAAAAAAATAGAAAGATCAACAGTAAGCACATTTTCAAGTATTGAAAACCGTCATTGACATGTGCATTGCCACCAACAACAGTCGTGACAAAAAAAATTTCGGAAGAAAATCAACTTAACAAATATGTAAATGTCGTGTGATTGGCTAAAGATCTTCTTGTCTTGATTGGTTGTTCGTGCTGTGATGTCAGCACCAATAACAACGCGATATCCAATTTGGTCGTTTAGAAAGATATTTTTCTTTTGTTTCGTTTCTTTGGATCTTTGATATTCGTAACATTGTTAGGTTTGCTATATCTCAGCCCTTTATCTGCTGTCCTGTGAGACCTTAGGGGTAGTATAGGATACTGGGAAGGTAACGACAATAGGAGGTCTTCCCCCGTAGGTCTTGTCCTTACGCTGCCATACAATCAGTCTTCCTTGGGTACTTAAAGCGAATAACCGCTGACTATCTTCACTGAAGGCCACTCTGTAAACCGATCAATATGTGAAGTATAAAACAAGTTGCTTAGTGACAACAAGAGKGTCAAACTCTGGCCAAAATATCTCTCAAGTTTCTAGGGTACTCAAGAGGTACGTCTCCAAGGGAACACCTAATGAGGGCAGGTCAAGGCCTTCCAAGGGTGGTCTAGGGGATATTTTAGCTGACCTACTATAGCATTGAGYATTTACTGAAGACCAAAAGATCTTGGGTTCTTATGTTTTCATGACCCTCAATAAAACAAAGTGAGTTGAATGATTTTTTGAGTTGCAAGACTTTGCAGTCAGCGGTTTACTTACGAGGCGATGGGTGACAGGTTCTGCTCTGGAGCGATATCCCGGATGTGCTGTAGATCCCACGTACTCCATAACCTGCAGGAATGAACAATGTTATACCCCATTCACACCTAAACGTGTTTAGTTAAACTATGTTTTCATTAAGAAAAAAATTGAGAAACTAGAAACCTACAATATAATGAAACTTTCTAAAATATTGTCAGAGCAAGACAAAGGATACTTTACATGCATTATTTCACCAAATATTGTGCAGTGTTCGTCGATAGTTTTYCAAACCCGTTTAGTTAAACCACTTTAAAACATGTTTAAGCCTTGGTGTGAATGGGGTATTAGACTGATACAGAGAGGAAAACTCTATATAGAAAATCGTCAATTTTTTACAACTGACTTTCATAAGCTCTCACAATRCAAAAACCACAAAAGTTCCACGATTATGTGGAAACACCACAGCGCCACGAAACTTTGTCCACGATAAAAATCTCATAACACAATTCAATCAGCAATCAAATGCATTACAATTAGATTTAAACAAAATGTACCTAATGACTTCATTGCTAAGCCGTTATGCCCCTTATGTATAGTCCAATCCAACAGAGTGATTTTCAATTTGAAAAATTATTTCAAATCTTGATTTTTTTGAACGATTTCAGCATAAAACTACTAGTTATGAATATTAAAATAAGAATCATGAGATAAAAGCTGCAAATTCAGTGGAAAAACGTTTTTCGATCCGCACGATCCAGTAATTTAAAGTCCAATCCAGTCCACGCATGCCCGGTTCCKGATTTTCCAAACTTAAAAAATCTCTCAGAAATCAGAATCTAGCAGCGTAAATTAAGTATTAGAGGTTGGGTATGTCTTTTCTATACATTTTCATTATGTATAGCTTTTCAAAACTGAAAATTCGATGAAATTGAAATTTTGAATTTTTTTGAGATCCATGATCGCATCAACCGACGTCCAGTCTAATCGATTCGTCAGTCTACGCGATAATTTTCGAAAAAAATCTCTAAAGGACTGTTGGTGGATGGCCAGAAGAGAAGCAAGGCAATATTGTTATATTTGGACTAATTCCTAACCTGCCAATTTTTTGAAATTTTTAGTTTGACATGATATAATTAATTTGCTACAGGATTGCTTGCCTGTCGAATTTGGAAAGATGTTAAAATACGCATGACACGATTTAACAAATAAACAAATATTTTACTTAACAAGTACAGATTTACGTATGCTGCACCTTATGGCTCCGTTGCTAAGGCCCGTTGCTATGATATTCACAGAGACTCCTTCTGGAGCCCGAGAGAAGTCCATACAGTTGATAGTATGTTCACACGTGCTGTGCACCACAGGGATCCCATTCACAGTCCAGAGAGATAATACACTACCCTCTTCATGAATACTGTCTTGATCAAGTGAYTCTCCTGCCATACAATAATACAACATGAATACACAATAGTAAGATAAGACTCTACCCATTGATCCTGTATGTTGCTACATAGCACAGTCATTATATGCTGTAAAAAAATACGCTACAAAAGAAAAAGTGCAGCCTCRGACCCTTGAGCCAAAATAACACAAGATAGATGACATTATCTAGGCGAACATATACAACTCAATATTCACTAATATTAACCGTTACCATAGTGATATACAGTGGCAATGTCTCCTGATGTTCGGCTTATCGCTAGCACATCCACTGCCCTTTTATGGTCAAGTGTGCGAATGTAGCTCAGTCTAGAGAAGAAAGAAAAGTTTCATTATAAGGTTACTTGTGTGAGACAGAATGCCAATACTATGAATGATCTGTTCTACCTATTGAGGTCCCAGATGATGGCTGTCCCATTTTTACTACCGCTGACCAGTACACTGTACTCATGACATATCCTCAGACACGTGATCTCATCAGTGTGCCCGTAAAGTCGAACACGTGTCCCAAGCACCTCGATCCTGCAGTCCTAAATGGAAAGTATATAACTAAGGTTGAAGATTATTAAAAGACAATGAATAGAATTAACAAATATGAAATGGGTGAATGAGCAAATGAAAATTAGGTGGGATGAGTTACTATTGGATAAATGGACAGACGGAATGAATGGATGGAAGTGGAAGAGAGACAGAGAACCAGTACAATTGTTTTCACTTTACTCACCAGGGTAGGGTTATACTTGGTGGGTAAACAAAACAATGCACCCGATGACGAACCAATAAACAATGACGTACAACCGATTGATGTTACACAGCATGTAACCTAGGCAACCAAAAATACATCAATGAATAACAAGAAAGGGATGAGAAAAACTCTCACCGATACCAGAATTATCAGTCGATTCGAATTCCACTTCAATCTGGCGTCGAGTGCTTCAGTCATGACGGTAATTCATTATTCAAAAATCAAAAGATATGATTTTTTTTCACGAATATACTCTGAATAAAGTTCAACGCTAAGACGTGCTATAATACCGAAACATGGCATCAATAAGTAGTTTACAACAAACAACACATGCTTTCCAACCTTGTCGGGTGTCTTGGTGTCCATAAGCCAGGCACCAGAACCACTACCTTCGACAAACACCGTTAAACTGCCATCGACTGCAGASCAACTGAGAGCAGCTGACAAAACAAGCCGCTCACCCCTCTCCTCGGGGTACTGTTCGTATCCGGACATTAATGTGGTGTCTTTGCAAAGTACGTGTACAACCTCGCCTCTGTTACAGACTAAAGAAYACACAGGGAACCCAATTTGTTGGTTAAAGCTGATGAAGGGAACGGGGAGGGCTGGGGAACATACGTAGCTACCCCATCTGAGACCCTCGACTGTGGTAACAGGTTTAGGTGCGTCTGAAACGAAAAAAGAAAAACTCATTCAGATTTCAGTTTAGTTTTGATATATTAGCCATACCGAAATCGAGGAAAAAACTGAGTCCAATTAGCATTGCAGTGCATTGTGGGATTGTTTGAGGAATTAAAATAGACGCCATCTTGGAAATGTCCCCTTAAACAGTCCCACAATGCACTACAAGATCAACTTGACCCAGTATTTTCTCAACCTCGGAATGGCTAATTGTATTTGAACTGAACTTTCCAAAAGTGCACAGAAACTTTAGTCGCCAAGATCCTTACCAACAAGAGTATCAGTAACACTGCCCATCAATGTATTTTCTGACGAGAACGAACCGGTGAATCGATGCATGAACAGGTTCGTAGCAGAAGCCACTTCGAAGTCAAACTTGCTTGTATTCAATGACGTCACTGAACCGAATTCCGCGGGAGAGGTGGATATTTTGCGGGTCAAGCGCGGGCTGTGAGGATAGTTGAAGAGCTGTCTTGGAGTCTGGCCATAGGTTTCTATCATGGTTTTGAGAGCCTTTTGACGCACAGGATCCGTGATAGAACTCACTTGAACACCGTAATACGTCTGTAAAAGCAAACGTTAGACCAATTAAAGTAATCTGTATGTATGTGATTTTTATTTTCCCCTTTCTGGGATAACACAGAAGTAAAAAAGACTACAACAACACTAAGGAATGCGAGATAACGACGCCATTATCACATATAAAAAGCATCGGTGTGAATGAAATATAGATTACTTACCGCAGGATGAAAGACATTAACGGCTTCGACTGCTTCAGTTCCTGTTTGCTTGAATCCAAACACCAAGTCGATCCAACTATGAATCGAACGAGACACGTATTCCGTTTCCAGTGCCTAAAGAAAGAAAAACGAAGTGTCATCAGATGAAAAACTACTCTCGTTGATCCCTTCTTGATTTAGCCCATGGAGGAGTAACGTCCATCGTTCATACCCTCCCCTCCCCCACATTTACAAACCTGTCTGTGTATCAGGATAAATAATCGAGGGTTGCCTTTAGCCCATGGAGGAAGAGTAAC